TGTTTGGGGCGTGGGAGGAGGCCCCATCCTGTGCCTGGGCTGGGCTGAGAGGAGCTGCTCCCCCGGGAGTCCCAGCGGGCGAGGAGGTAAGGGGGCTTCGTGCTGCCGGGTCCGAGCCTGGCTCAACTCTGCTGCAGTGTGTGTGTGTGCGTGTGTGGGGAGAAGGGGTGTGGGAGATTCAGCTTGTCAACCTTCCTCTCTTCTATGCCCTTAACTTTTCTTCTGTCTCCCTCCGCCTTCCTCTCCGCCTTGGGTTTCCTGCCGGTCTGCCTGATGGCAGGATGGAGGAAATGAAGGCTGAATGGGGAAAAAAAGAGAGGGACTTTTGGATTTTTGTTTAGTCTCTGCGTTCAGCACAGTTTGCTCGGTTTGGGGGGGACCTTTGGGGTTCACTGGGCCAAGAGCGCCGGTTCTGATTTGCTTCCCACTGAAAGCCTTGGGAAGGTGGCCCATTTGCTCACTGCACTGGGGCGGAGTTGATGGGAACGGCCATGTAGCACATCTGGAGAAGGTCTAAGATGGAAGTGCGAGTCATCGTATCGGGTAAGGAAAAACATCTGGCCGGTGCTTTTCTTGTGAGGCACCCAGCCGACGGAGCAAAGGCTGCAGCAGCTGCTGGGAGGCTGCTCTGCTGGAAATCCCGGGGGATCAAAGAGATCCAGAGAGGCCTGAACTTTGAAAGGTCCCAGGGAGCCCCGGGAATCCTGACCCGGAGATGGCAGAGGCGCCTTGCTTGCCTAACTGGCATGGTGGGCAATGTGTGTCTGGTGGACAGAGGTGTGTCATTGTTTTCAGCAGGGATTCAGTGTGGGCCATGAGGTAATGCCAAATGGAAAGCCCTTCTGGTGCCTCTCCTTCTAAAGCTGGTAACCTGATGCCCGGCAGGAACAAACATCCTGAGGTCTGGGAGCAAGGCGAGGGGAGGGAGAGGCCGGCCACAGTCTCCCCGGCTCACTCAAGACAGAGGTGGGAGATGCAGCCTTGTGCAGAGACGGCTGAGTGGGTGGGAGATGCTTTCCTGTTCTTCCCAGGAATGTCTTTGCCAGCATATTGGCCACCACCGTCCTGCCCCCCCCCTTCGGAATGTGCTTTTATCATCAGCAATATTTGGGCCATCTCATGATCGGGGCTGCTTCTGCCTGACTTCTGGGCAGCTGAATGACCTCGCTGGGGTGGGGGTGGGGGATGTTTGCCAAGAGCCCTTTTCTCCTTCGGAGGAGGCAAAATAAATACATGAAATAGGTCCCTGAAGAACCCCCAAAGAAGGGAGCTCTAAAGGACACCGGCTGCTTCTCCAGGCAGGAATGTGAAAAGGCTAAAGCTTTCCTAGGGCGGAGGCACTTCAGGACTGGGCAGTGGCTACACCCTTGGAAGATAGAAGAGATTAACCTCCCCAAAGATTTGGTTATTTCATAGTCAATGATCGATTATTTGGAAGAGGAGCTAACTTCTCCCTGGGGGGGGGGGAGGAGCTGCAGGGCATGTAGGGTCCCATAAAATAAACGGATAACTTCTTTCTTAGATGCCTCTGCAAAACTTTTTTTTTTTTTAGAACTGTTTGCAGTTTGCTAGCAAAGGATGTTCAGTGCACAAAGCAAATCTATGTTTCATTTCCAGGTGCTGAGAGCTTTGTGCTAAAGTAGGCTGGCAGTAAGACCCCCCCCCCAACACACAGACAGGTGTGATAAGAGCAGCAGGTGTTTCCTTCCCAGCCTGGAATTGGGGAGGGACTGGGGTCACCCCTCCCTCATTGGAGCTGATCTTAGAAGGCGCTAGTGCAGCTCTCTCCCTCTGTTTTTCTCAAATTTCCGAGGAGAAGTTAGGAGCATTAACCGAGGTGAAGGCGCATCATTTCTATAATTTTTTTGTGTTTGGCAACACGAGTCTGCATCTCCCACCTCCTCCATGTCCATTTTGCCTGTTGCACATGTAAAATATGCAAGGACTGGCACTCACCAGGACCAACAAGCATGGGAAAACTCTGATTATGCTTCATTTAGTCTCCCCTCGGCAGCTAGTTCAAAATATTTTAGTTCATCCCTGCACTGTGGCTGTTCCGGTCTGTGAGAATTCATTTGGAAAAGATGCAGCTGGAGAAAAATGAATGTGAATTTCTTTAGCAAGACGTATGGAAAAGGCAGGCATTGTGTGCAAACTGTATTCAGTGGAGCACCGATATATGATCTGTCTCGCGCATGTTCGGGTGGAGCCTCTCTGAGGCTTTTTCTCACAGTCTTGTGGTGCCCCAGAGGGGAGGCGTCTCCCTTCGCTGATAGTGGGGACATTTGCAGTTGGTTGCCATAACTGTAGCTTGGATCTTTATCAGTCTGGGAACCAACACTTAGATAGGGGTGGCCGTATGTCTGGGTGCTGCAATTATTAATTTCTTCCCTGAACAGGGAGTTGAACTAGATTAAGGTTTGATTGTTGGACTAGATCAAAGAAGAGGAGGGTCAACCTCTTCTCCAAAGCACCAGAAGGCAGGACAAGAAGCAACAGATGGAAACTAATCAAGGAGAGAAGAAACCTGGAACTAAGGAGAAACTTCCTAACAGTGAGGACAATCAACCAGCAGAACGGCTTGCCTTCAGAAGTTGTGGGTGAGCCATCGCTGGAGACCTTTAAGAAGAGACTGGACAGCTACTTGTCTGGAGTGACATAAGGTCTCCTGCTTGAGCAGGGGGGTGGACTAGAAGACCTCCAAGGTCCCCTCCAGCTCTGTTCTGATTGACTGATTGTTTCCCAACCTTGGCCACAATGCCAGCTGGGGAATTCTGGGAGTTGAAGTCCACCCATCTTCAAGTGGCCAAGGTTCTCCTTCACTTCCATGTGACCTCAGCGTTCACTTTTTCTTCGATTTCTGCAAAAGGCAGATGCGTGCCAGCTCCTTTCCAGTACAGAAGAATGACTTGCTTCACAAGAGACCTTTCAGTGCCCTTTAAGCCGACCTTATTCAGGAGCCCTCAAATGTTAATGCTGCTATGTGACCTACAATAAAAGACCCGCAGCTCCCCCAGGAAGTTTTCCAAAACCCCAAGTGGGGAAAACTTCCCAAAGCAGAGAAGAGGCTAGGATGGACAATCTCTGCCCTCTCCTGGCGATGCTCCTACTTGGAGTACAAAATCCCAGAGCCCAGATGGGAAAACCTCGGCCCTTCCGGAGGTGGAAATGGAGCGCTGCCTGTCGACCCTGTCCTGGGTCTCCTGCAACTTCTGCTGTGGCTCTTCGTGGGCTCAGCCTGAGTCAGGCTGATGTCATGGCGGCTGGCGACTTCCTCCAGATTGTCCTCCCGCCTGGGCGTTCCCTGACCTCGGGGTTTACTCCTACTAGTAAAAGCAACACGTAACTAATTAGAGAAGGAAGGCCTCCTCTGCTTAAAGACATAACCGTCCTCGTCAGCAAAACACAGGTCCGTCCGATGGCCTGCATTTTTGTAAGTGGCAAATTCTATTCCGTTTCCCGAAACTGGGTCTGGGGCCAGCCTGACGGCCCACGCCTTTTAGAGTGGGATAATTCCACAGCTGCCCGTGAGCCGTGGAGTGTTGTGCAACGCCTGGGCTACAAAACAGGGACGACCGGCATCTTTGGCACAGAGAGCATTTAGCAAACAAGGAAACGGCTCATCCCTTCAGGCTTCCAGACGGCTGCTGCAGGAAAGTAGGAGATGGTTCAACTCTCACCCTCCCCCCTGCTTGTTTACCTAGAGGAAAATCCCCCGCCCCTCGGAAAAACAGAATTGCTCCAGATCAGAGGTGAATCAGCCTGTCTGCCCAAGAAAGGGAGGGAACCTCAGGTAGTTCCCCCCAACGAGAAGACCCGCCTACTGGTGGAGCCAAGGATTCTCTGGGCTGCAGGCGTTTTCATTGCACTGGATGGTTCGCAGCTGGAAAACATCTGGGAGGGGAACTGCGCTGCAAACAGGGAGGGGCTGTTCCCTGGGCCTCTTCCCACCAAACCTGCTGGCAGGCAGCAGTTTCCCCCCACGGGATGGCTCTTGTTGGCCAAGGCTGTTTTTTCTGAACTCCTTTTCCCTGGCCACAGAGGGCCACAGACACACCCTCTGCCCCACGGTTGAGTTTTCATCCTGCTGTTTGTGAGTTTTCTCCAGTTTTTCTCCAGGTGGCTTAGCCAGGTGTGCTGGGCCTGGACCCAGGAGGAGGTGTTTGTTTTGCCAAGGGGGTGGCTGGCTTTAATCCTGGATAGTTACTGATCGCAAAGGAGGAGGAAAGCCTCTCGGAGACCTCCCTGCTAAAACCCCCCGAAACCCTAGTCTGGCCTTGGGTCAGTTTCGGCTCTCAATCCAACCCCCCCACCCCACCCCCACCCCCAGCCGGGTTGCATCTGTGCTCAGGAGCTCTTTCTGGGAGGGTGGGGAGAAAGGGGAGAGTAAACCCAGGTGCACACAACGGAGTGTTTGCTAGGACTTTGGGAACATGATTTACAGGATTTGTTTATTTGCCTAAGACCTGCATGCCCCTTGGTGACAGAAAACCAGGAGGCATAAACCAGTTTGAAAAGGGGACGGAATTAGGAGGGGATCTTTTCAGCCAGGGCGAAGCAGCTGAAGGAGAGGGGCTTTCAGAGCAGTTTGCGGATTTTGAAAACAAGGCGACCCCGTGGTTAACAGATCCCAGAAAAAGCACTGAAGAATTTCAGGATTTACTCTATTAAAAAAAATCAGGAGTCTGGTAGTGCCTTCTTTGGTTTGTTTTAAAGAGGTGGAAGGTTTTGTGGGCTGTGCCTCTCCATCTTTGGGGTTTACTGTAACCTAGAATCCTTCCTCGAAACACAACAATTTCCCCATGCCAGATGGGAGGTGCAACTCTTTAGCCACCTAATAACACAACCCTGGCAAAATGAACCAGTCCCTTGTGTTGCCTCAGTGGATGAATGAATGAATCGTATTGGATATGCACTTGTGTTCCTAATTTATTGGTTTTCTCTCTCTCTCTCTTTCTCTCTCTCTCCCCCCCTCCCTCCTGCTCCTTTTATAGGTGTTGTGTTAATGCACAAAAATGGCCAACGTCACACAGATATCCAAAGATGAGCTAGAGGAACTCAGGGAGGCTTTTTCCAAAGTTGGTAAGTGGTTCTTTTCTTGCCAGCACCAGGCCGGATGCCTTTAGCTTGGACCCATTTCCCAGAACCCCCGTTTGTTGCAGTCATTAACATTTTCTCATCCTTCACTTGTTTTTCACCAGTTGCACCTATTTAGCTTCCAACTTGGATAAAGAAATCGTAATGCTCCCTGTTTGGGAGGCCCAATTCGGATTCTCTGTAGGAAAAGTTGGAGCCTTTAGCACCGAGTTTTTCAGCCCCAGCAGCTTTTAAGACCCAGAGTGGAGCAGGGGATGGCAACTGGCCCCCAATGACTTTGGATGTTGGCCTTGCAGTGGCACAGGGGTCTCCGACCGTGACACCTTTAAGACTTGTGGACTTTGACTCCTGGAGGTTGAAGTCCACAAGTCTTAAAAGGTTGCCTAGGCTGGAGAGCCCTGCAGTAGGGGAGTAAGGAGTGAGGGGGCTGGGGGTCAGACTCCCGCCTTGTCCCTGCTCTGATTTTTCCACCTGTCTCTCTCTTCCACCTGCAAGATCTCAACAGCAACGGATTCATCTGTGACTATGAGCTGCACGAACTTTTCAAAGAAGCCAACCTTCCCCTCCCGGGATACAAAGTCCGAGAGATCATTCAGAAACTCATGATCGACGGAGACAAGAACAAAGACGGAAAGATCAGCTTTGAAGAATTTGTTTACGTAAGGCTGGAACCATCTTGGTCTGATTCCCCCAAACTCTGGACTGCGGCTTTTCCTGTGAGACCACCCAGCTCTCCTTCCCTCAGTCCTCCAGCCGTGCATTTATTCACCCCATTATTCTACCACCCATCGCAGCCATTTTCTGGGCAGAGCTAAAATGTGTAAAGCGATAAAACAACGTTGAAAGCAGCAGAGCAGAGAGAATTGAGCCAGCAAATTGGGGGGGGGGGCTCCTCAGAATAAAGTTATGGTGGGTTAATGCAGGACCTTCTCAAAGGTTCCACCTCTGGCCCCGGTTTCTCAGCTGCTCCAAAGACCCAAAAGAATAACAGACTAACAGAGTTGGAAGGGACCGTGGATGTCTTCTGGTCCAAGAGCCTGCCCAAGGCAGACCTTGCTGCATCCCGGACATACAGCTGTCCAATTTTTAAACTCTCTAGTGAAGGAGCCCCCACAACTTCTAGGGGAAAGTCATTCCACTGCTTAATTGTTCTGTCAGGAAATTTTCCTCATCTCTAGATTGGTTGTCTCCTTGATTAGTAGTGTCCATCTATTACGTCTTGTCCTGCCCTTTAGAGAATAGGTTGACCCCCTCTTCTATGTGGCAGCCCTTCAGATGTTGAAAGATGCTATCCTGGCACCCCTAGTCTCTCAGAAGAGTCTTCAGGATTGGTGTGGGACTCTCCTGCTGCCCAGGTCCTCCTCTCCCAGAACTTATTCTGGGTTGCATCCCAGGGTTATCCTGGTTAGGTAGACTTTGGCCACTGCAGAGCAAGACCAAAACCTTTTTGGGGTTTATCCCGTCCATCTTCAGAGACTTCCACAAGTCCCTCAAGGCCATGAATTAACAGTTGCATTTCTGCTTGCAGCTCTTCCAAGAAGTGAAAAGCAGCGACGTTGCCAAGACCTTCCGCAAGGCCATCAATCGGAAGGAAGGCATCTGCGCCATCGGGGGCACCTCGGAGCTGTCCAGCGAAGGCACCCAACACTCGTACTCAGGTACTGCCTGGGGGCTTCATCTCCCCTTCTGGCCCTGCCAGGCCTGCGACTAGGTGGGCCCTTTCCTGCCCTTCCAACATCTGCCCTGAAGTTCTCACAGCTGCCCAAACTTCTTCTGTAGATCCCACCACACCGATGCCTTTGGTGGCCAAGGTGCCAATGGTTAAACCTGTTTGTTTTGCTCTCCACCTTCCTTGATAGACCCAATATCCTAATATCCATCAGGTCTGTAGTTCTGGTCCTTGGGTGATCTAAAGCAGGGAGAAAGTCTGTCTCAGGATTTTTCTAATACGAGTAGTCCTCACTTTATGAACATTTGTTGAACTACGGTTCAAAATTGTAATGGTTTCTGGCCAAAAAACATTTCGGTTTGAATTGTGCTCATAAGTTCAGGATTATCTGAAGTTCATGCAGTGTTGATCCAGGGGTCCCCAGGGGGCAAGAAGGGTGCGATGGAGGACAGGGTATTGCAGTGCAAACCCCAAGTCTTCGACTTCAAGGGGAGAACTGACACAGAGTCTCCTATCTATTCTCTTGCCTTGGCAAACTGTTGTACCCCCTCCCACGCTACCCTCCCAGGTGCCACTGGGGGGCTTTGAGCTGCAGCGTTGGTGGGTTTCCCCACTGGTGTCACTTGAGTCTTAATCTCAGAGCTTCTTTCCACTTTAGAGGAAGAGAAATACGCCTTTGTGAACTGGATCAACAAAGCTTTGGAAAACGACCTGGACTGCAAGCATGTCATCCCCATGAATCCAAACACGGACGATCTCTTCAAAGCCGTTGGGGACGGGATCGTCTTGTGGTGAGTCCTCTGCTCTGGGACGATGCCCTTGGCAGGAGGTGGGCAGGAGAAGCCCCCGTGAAGAGGTAGGCTGTTCTCGGTTCTCTCTAACTCCAAGGTGTTCATTTTCCTTCTTGCTTCCTCGTAGTAAAATGATCAACCTCTCTGTTCCTGACACCATTGATGAACGAGCCATCAACAAGAAGAAGCTTACCCCATTCATAATTCAGGTGGGGGTCCATTGTTTCCCAGGTCTTCTCTCCCCGCAGCTTAAATAATGCTGGATTTGTTCATTATCCAAGGGGGCGGCTAGGAGAGGAGATGGGTTTTGTTTGCTTTAAATTATTAAAAGAGGCTTTTGTGCCGTCTCTTTGTTGGACATTGAAAGCAGAACCTTTCCCAACAATAGAGATGCTGCTCAGTAAATATTAATTGCGTTCAAAGAGGAAGATGAACCAAGGCTGCATTTGGCATCTATTCAAGTGGAGAAACTACCAGGAGCTTTTCAATTAGATCCCCCTCTCTCCTCTCCTTCTGCCTTGGCTCTCCCCCCCCTCTTTCTTTCCCTCTTTCTCTTTCCTCCTCCCTTTTTCCTTTCCTCTTCCATCTTTCTTCTTTTCCCTCCTCTCTTCCTTTCTTGTTCAGTTACCAGCATCTCAAGCCTTATCTTGCTCTGGCAGTGAGAAAGCTACCCGTTTCTCTCTTGTTTTCAACTTGCTATCTCTCCGTTCAAGGTTTGCGAGGCGGGGAATTTTAAATATTTTGATTCGGAGAAGCACTGGTTTGATGCCTCTCATTGGGGTGGGGGGTGGGGGGTGGGGGTTAGGAAAAATCCATGGCCTCTGTAGACGTCATCGTGAACTGGCCTGAATCGCATAGCCTGAGGACTGCAGATGACTTCCTATTAAAAGACTTCTTCATTTGCAGGAAAACCTGAACTTGGCTTTGAATTCTGCTTCCGCCATCGGGTGCCACGTGGTCAACATTGGGGCAGAGGATTTAAGGGAAGGGAAGCCCCATCTGGTTCTCGGCCTGCTCTGGCAGATTATCAAGATTGGCTTGTTTGCAGATATTGAACTCAGCAAAAATGAAGGTGAGGGAAGCCCACCTGGGCCTCTGCTGGGCGGTTGTTCGTGCCAGTGGCTGGGTGACGGTGCCCGCTTCCACGGCTGGTTGCAGAGGGCCCTGAACGGGTTGGAGCACGGTTGGACTAGCCTTTGACTGGGGAGAGTTGAAGTATGGGATAAACATGCAACGGCGTGGTAAGAGAGCTGGGCTGAACTGTGCAAGGAATGGGGCATGCCAGCAGAATGCCCACACACTAGTATTTTTCAAACTTGGCAATTTTAAGAGGTGTGGACTTCAACCCCCCAGAATTCCCTAGCCAGCACGAGGAATTCTGGGAGCTGAAGTCCACATAAAGTTGCCAAAATTGAAAAGCACTGGTCTAAATAGATATTTAACCCTCAGTTAAGCCAAAGTATTTCCTAAACGCGTTAGCTCAGAAGTGCATCTCATTTCTTTCTAGGTAAGAATAGGATTACAAATTTTGTTTTCCAAAGGCCAGAGCTTTTGGCCAGAGAAGTTGGGCTCCCGCCCTCTTAGAATACCAAAATAGATGCAGGCTCTCTTGGCCACATCTAATAGACTGCTTCTCATAAATTAAAACCCTTATTTGACCTTATTTTGGTTTCATAATCCAGCATAATAATAATAAAAAAGAAAAATATCTGCCAAGGACTTAAAAAAGCCTCAAAGTCATTCATTTGCTTCCCTTGTAAATAAAGCTAGAGATCCAATCTAAGGATTAGGATTTAGCAGAGGCAATTTTTAAAGAACCCTAATAAACCATTTAGTGTTTAATTGGCTCCTCCGGATAGTTTTGAGAGGCAGGCAGCATCCTCCTTGGTCAGAGAATTGGGCCAGGACCAGAGAGACCCACGGGGTGACTTTGGGCCAGTCGCCCTCTCAGCCCTGCCCTCCGCCAGGGTTGCAGCCGTAGGGATCCACGGAAGGGACCTCGCCACGGAAGCCTCTGTGACCTCCCGGGGCACGAGAGGGTTTGCATCTACTGAAGAGGCCAACGAAGTATGTTCCCTGGGGAGGGTGAACCGTGAACTGGAGGCCTGAGACTTCCCTCTCTCCCCTTCTCAGCTCTGGCTGCCTTGTTGTGTGATGGAGAGACTCTGGAGGACCTGATGAAGTTGTCCCCAGAAGAGCTTCTCCTGCGATGGGCCAACTACCACCTGGAGAGCGCCGGGTGGCACAAGATCAACAACTTCAGCTCCGAGATAAAGGTATTGGCGGTCTCGGTGGGAGTTTGTCCAGGCAAGTCTTTCATTTGGGGAAGGGAGCCCGGAGTTGAATGCTCCTCCAGGGAGTTTGCTCTGGATGGAGCGGCTGGCATCCTTAGCCTTCTCTCAGTTGAAATGATTGTCCATCTAACCTTCTTAATTCTCTTCTCTCCTGTGCTGTCTGGACTCTCTCTCTCTCCCCTTTGGCTTTTTTTATTTTGATTTTACAAGCTTTCCGACTTCCATAACTCTGTTAAGGTACAGGAACCGTTCCTACTTCTGACTAACGTATTACGTTGCACGGGATTCATAACGTTGGGCTGAAAAAGCTCAGCTGCTTCTAATGCAGCCTTTCTCAATCCCAGGCTGGCTGGGGAATCCTGGGGGCTGAAGTCTGCCCGTCTCGGAATTGCTGAAGTTGAGAGACCCTGCTCTAATCCCCTTGGTCTGATTCTGCCTCCTCCAGGACTCCAGAGCCTACTTCCATCTCCTCAACCAGATTTCCCCCAAAGGACAGAAGGAAGGAGAGCCACAGATCAACATCAACATGTCAGGCTTCAGTGTGAGTAGGGGTCTTGGTGGCCTGCTGGGAACCTTGGAACCACTATTCTACTAATCCTCAACACTCAACGATGTCTGTGGCCAACATTTGTGGTTATCAGAGGATGCTTTCCAAGTTACCCCATTGTCTTCTGGTTTCAAGCATTCACTCTACCAAGCAGCGCTTAGGAATGCTTCACCAGGGACCCTCTGGCTGATTTTCGCTCTCAGACTGCATTGCATTGTTTATTTGAAGACCTCGTAGAAGGAGAGCCACGCTAGTCCATGGTGGTTCTCTTCACTGGGAGCTCCTCCTGTGAAGAGCATCCCAAGGGGGGGGGGAAACATCCAAAGAAACAAGATGGCAGCCTCAGAGCCTGATCACGACTGCCATCTTCAGATTGCTGTGGACACCCCCCCTCCCCCCGCCTTCCGGATCTCAGAACCCACCTTTGAAAAGACTTCCTCCCAAGGTGGCGGCTTCATCTAACCCAACGTTAGAAAGTAGCCTCTGTGCCATTCCTTCCCTGTAGGAGAAAGATGACCTCAAGAGGGCCGAGTGCATGCTCCAGCAAGCGGATAGGCTGGGCTGTCGGCAGTTTGTTACCCCAGCAGATGTTGTGAGTGGCAACCCGAAGCTGAATTTGGCCTTCGTGGCCAACTTGTTCAACAAGTACCCAGCCCTCACCAAGCCTGAAAACCAAGACATTGACTGGACGCTGCTGGAAGGTGAGAAGTTTTTCTTTCTGTGTGATTAATGGAAGGGTGGCTGAGAGAGAAAGAGAAGGAAGGAAGGAAGGAAGGAAGGAAGGAAGGAAGGAAGGAAGGAAGGAAGGAAGGAAGGAAGGAAGGATGCTGACTTTTGGTTGCTCTTTGCATCTTTGTGTCCTGAAGATTTCTTCTCCTTCTTTCTTGGTTTAGCATTTTTAGAACATTTGTTTGGTGTCCATAATGTCGTCTGTCTGTCTGTCGAGAAGCAAATGTAGATTCCTTCAATAGCGACTCTTTGTATCTTAGGTGAAACCCGTGAAGAACGCACGTTCCGCAACTGGATGAATTCTCTTGGCGTAAACCCTCACGTCAATCATCTCTACGCGTAAGTCTGGCTTTCTTTCAGGAGGCATGACCGAAAGAGGCATGACCAGGATCCCATCCGTCAGGTATTTTTTGAAGACTAAACTTCTCAGTGAGCAGATTTCTGTTTTCTCTTTCAGTGACCTGCAAGACGCCCTGGTGATTTTACAGCTCTACGAGAAGATCAAAGTTCCTGTCGACTGGAACAAAGTCAACAGACCTCCATACCCAAAACTTGGGGCAAACATGAAGAAGGTGCTGGAGCCTGGTTGTTTCTAAACCATGCCATTTTCAGTTCAGTTCGGGGAAATCCTGTTACTTTAGCCCAAGTTGTTAAAGCAGTTCTGGGTGCTGCCCCAAAGCAGATAGCCTTCTACCTGACGCCCACCCCTCACTCCACACGGGATTGGGCCAAAGAGTGGATTCCTCTCTGCGAAATGAGAGCCTCTCCTCAGGGGCAAAGCCCTTGCTTGGCTTGTAGAAAAGAGCAGCTTTGGGGCACTTCCAACTCCAAGGTCTTCTAGCAAGGAGGGGTGAAAAGAAGACCACCAACGTATAAGGCAGCTGTGATCTCCCTCCCTCCCTCCCTCCCTCCCTCCCTCCCTCTCTCTCTCTCTCTCCATCATTCCCCCAATTTCCTTCTGTCTCACCAAACAGCTGGAAAACTGCAACTATGCGGTCGATCTAGGAAAGAATCGAGCCAAGTTTTCATTGGTTGGCATTGGCGGGCAGGATCTCAACGAGGGGAACCCGACCCTCACCCTGGCTCTAGTCTGGCAGTTGATGAGAAGGTATGCTTGCACCCATGCCACTTAGTCCAAGTCACTGGAGGCTCACGTTCTCCACGAAAAACCTACATTTCTAGGGGTTCAAACACACCTAGCAGGTCCCTTAGAGACTTTCCCCAGTTTCTGTGTGCTGAGTAACTGTGTCTCCTTTGCCCAGATACACTCTGAATGTTTTGGAGAACCTCGGAGACGGTCAGAAAGCAAATGATGACATCATTGTAAATTGGGTGAACACGACCTTGAAAGAAGCTGGGAAATCAAGTTCTATCCAGAGCTTTAAGGTGGGTAATGTTGTCTGTCTCTTTGGATCTTGTTGCCACAAAGAAGCCAACTTGTGACCAGGAGTACAAGTGGAGTGGATGAATTGGGGGAAACAGATAGATGTTGCTACTTAGAGCAGACTCTACAAAAGTGTCCTCCCAATTCCAGCAGCTGAATTTTTAAAGGTTTACTGAGCATCTGAAAACAACGGACTTTCGCAATAAAATAATAATTAAGAGTTTTTTGCTCCTTTACCATAATAGTCTTTCTGGCCATCTTTAGATAGCTGTCTTGTTTCCAGAAAGCAAAGCAATCAGGCATTATTGAAAATATTTATCCTGGACGCCACCAGAAAAAGTTCTGTATCTTTGCTGGCAGAAAAAGATGTCGGTTGTACTTTGTACAAACCTTATAAATCCATAGTTATACTGTAAATCCACACCACAAATCTGAGCACTGCTCCAAGCGGGCCAGAGACATCACTAATTGACCAGTTCTTCTCCAGCGACTGGGTTCCGCCGTGTTCTCTCTCCCCCTTTAAAAAGGGTGGTGTCCATCTGATGCGTCCACCCTTTTCACTGATGTGACCCTCGTCTTTCTCTCCAGGACAAAAGTATCAGCAGCAGCCTGGCCCTGGTGGATTTAATTGATGCTATTCAGCCCGGCTGCATAAATTATGACCTGGTGAAGACAGGCGACCTCTCCGAGGAAGACAAGCACAGCAATGCCAAGTGAGATGCCGGACTTGGTTGCCCTTTCAGCCTCCCTCTGGTGCACGGCTGGTTCAGACAGCAGGTTTATCCCAGGTTGTGGAGGAAGCCATCGTCAGTGGCCATGCCCGAGACTTGAGCCATCGCTAGCTGTAGCCTGCAAGCCATAAGAGCTGGGCTCACCTGTTCTCGATTCAAGGGAAGCCAGTTGGACCCCCTCGCCTGGGATGTCCCTCGCCAGGGCTCTGGGGGAGGTTAACCCATCCTGCTCCATTTATCCCCATGGGAGTTCGATGGGCTCAGGGTTCAGGTCCAGCTCTGCTGGGGTGCGTGCAATTCTCTTGTAGATCGGACCTTGCCAGATCTGAAGGTGCCTCTCTTTCCTCTCTCCAGGTACGCCGTCTCCATGGCCAGGAGGATTGGTGCCCGCGTCTATGCCCTGCCAGAGGACGTGGTGGAGGTGAAGCCCAAGATGGTGATGACCGTGTTTGCCTGCCTGATGGGCCGAGGGCTGAAGCGCGTTTAAAGAGCAAAGACCCCCAGCCTGCCCTCCTCCCCACCCCCAGCGCAGATGCCCGACTGAAGTGCTCTGCTCCGCTTCCAGAAAGGTGGACTCTCTTTGGCCGAAGGACTCTCCATTGGGCTTGGCAACCCAGACCCGGAGAGGCCTCGGAGAGGGGACGGGAACCAGTCCAGCCACCTCCCTCCCTCCTTTCCTTCCTTCTTCCCTTCCCCAGAAATTTCAAGGTTGCATCTCCTCAAGTGCCCAAGGGAACAACAATCCGCACTCATGCCGGTGGCCGGCACACCGACCAAAGCTTTCTTTCCTCATCCAGAGGGGCAGTTTTTGGGAGAGTTGCCCGTCGGGGGATTGGCCTTAAGGCTCCCGTCTGACTCTCCTGTCCTGAAAGGATGAAGGAAAGGAAAGAAAGTTTCCTTTAAAAAAAAAAGGAAGTTTCTAGAGGTTCAAGGGTTTGAGATGGGCTTGAGTTTTTGTTTTTTTTTAATTTAACCTGCTGTTCGGTCATGGGTGCAAATGCAGCAACATTTTTAAGCCACACCTTAAAAGGAAACAAAACAAAAACCACTTAGTAGAAATCATACAAGTTAGGCAAGATGGCATAAAGGCTCTTATTTTAAATAATTTATCCTGCCGCTGGAAGCTAATTTGGCACACTCCGTTCTTCACGATTTGGTCACAGAGAGGGAGCCGTGCCACTGGAAGTCTTAGGCGACACCCCAACTGTCTCTCACTTTCAGTCCTCCTCCCAAAGGACTAGAAACTTGGTTTGGTTCTGATTTCAGTGGGAGTTTCCCCTTTTGGGAAGTGGCATTTGGTGCCCAGCTGCCCCTTGTGGTGTTCCTGTGGACCGGTGGCACAGGGGCTGCTCTGCACCTGGTCGGGTTCAAGTGGGTGCAGTCCGAACGGCCGGTGAAAGGGTACTTGCCAAGCTCAGTCTTCCGGCAGCCTTCTGAAGCCATGGTGCTGCTCTTATTTGCCTTTACAGCACAACAGTGTTGTTGCTTCCCTTTTCCGACAAAAGCACAACAGGTTTTCCTTTGTGCGAGTTTTTTATTTTCACGTTACTCATTTTTATGCAAGGTACCATCTTCAAAGGTTACCGCCTTGCCTCAGCTTAACTGAACCCAGAGAACCGAATTGATGCAATTTTTATGTGTTGCCTTGGTTTGTTTTGTATTTTGCCTGGACATATTTTTTTTAAGTTTTGGTTTTTTCTCCAAAAACTGCATGTAAACCGTTTTTTTAAAAAGAAAAAAAATAAGATATTTAAGTTGACATGAGCTGTTTGTTACAAACTGTGTGAGAAGGGTGCCACAGGTGAGACCGGACCCATTCTGCAAAAGGCAGGGACTAGTAACTTGAAGAGCAGAATGTGCCGAGATTAAAGAAACTATTTTTTTATAAATAAAAGGAAAATGTTATCGCCAAAGAAAAGACTTTTATCCATAGGAGCAAGTATATTATGGCTTTAGCAAGCTGTTAGCTACCCCTGAGATCATCTTGTTACATATTCACAGCCTTGGATTATGGTGACAAAGCAGTTGATGATGAAATAAAAATGGTTTATAAACCTGACATCTGGATTTCTTTCGCAAAACCTCTTTGAAATTCATCTCTGGCTTGTAATCCTGGCTTTGACAATGGGGGTCTTGGATGTCTCTCCATTAAATCCTCCTGCTTCTCCCATGGGCCAGAGCCATCTTTTCTTGTCAGTCATTTGAGGGATTGAAATCTTTTAGTCATTAAAAAGAATATAAATCGGGAGTGTCCAACTTTGGAAACTTCAAGACCTGGGACTCCAATTGCCGGAATTCCCAGCCAGCCTTACCAAGGTTGGACACCCCTGATACAAATGGAATGGGAATAAACTCACCACCCCTTCGCATCCGCCGCTGTCCACATTCAAAGCCAGTTTGCATAATGATAGTTTATTAGTTAAATAACTAGGGGATAGGCTTGTGACAACACGTTTTGCCTTGTGTGTTTCACTCACACAATGCCTAGATTCACCCAACAGCTAAACCAGAAGCCTATCTGTTGGGTGGGAGGGATAAAGAACATAAAAAAGCCCCCCAGCAGTAAAGCCCAAAATTGCAGAAGGGAGTTAATTATACATGAGTGTAAAAGAATTTAACCATGGAAGTTAATGCAAGAAAAATGAACATGACCCGGTTGGAGTCGCTTTCAGCCATTAGGGGGCGCCCTAAACTTTCCAAATAGATGAGCCAACTCTGGAATTGGATTTAGAAAGTTAAAAGTGTTTTTGTACTGCCCCAAATCTCAGCTGGATGGCCGCCGCGTGGGAAATGTGAGATTCGCAAGGGAGCCCCATCTGGCCTGTGTCAAGCTCCATCCATCCCTGAACCCTCTTCGCTCAGCTCTCTGCTGCTTCCTGCCTTCCCTTCCCCCGTGGCAGCCTCCCACGCCACTCTCTGTGCCAAGGGCAAAGGGGTCTCTCTTTTGCAAAGCAGGCATGGACCCGCCTGGCCAAGAAAAGCCAGCTTAATTTAGCCCACATTCTGAATCGGGTTCGGCAGAAGGTCTGGGCCGCAGCCCGTCTGGCTCGGGGTGGGATTTATCGACCGGTATATCTGTGAGGGAACTTTTTTCCCCAAGCACAATTGCCGATTCGAAAATAAAGATGTTACGTTATTCAAAGCTTTGAGGTGACAAAAACAGTCTCGGGGAAAGAAGTCGGCCTGGGATTGTCTTTCTTCTTGGCTAGAAGTGCTGCAGGCTCTGCGTCTCCAGGATCACTCCCAATAATAACAGGCATGAGAGTAATAAGGCTTGATTGCAAAATGCAAAGGTAAACGCAGTAATTCGGGGCATTTCCCGTAATCAAAAGCATCATCCTAAAAGTAGTTTAGATAAACAATGGGATGAAGAAGGGAAAACACTTCCCAGGACATAAGTTGTTTATGCCACGTGTAGCAGAAGAAGTCCAAATATCACACGATCGAATCCTAGTTTAGGATTTCCCAGATAAAAAATTTCCTGGAAAAACGTTTGCCCAGATTTCACTGATCCAAAGCTGAAAAAAACGAAAGTGCTATTGTGAATTTCTGGTCTGCTTCTTCAACCTCTCGGTTTCCTCAGTCTGCAGAAGCCGAAAGGTTCTTGCAACCTCCGTCCAGGGCCAACCACCGGAGCGCATTCTTCTGCTTTTCCAAGAGGCAACTGGAGTTTCTTTGTTTTTTCCTTGAAGACGTTTCGCTTCTCATCCAAGAAGCTTCTTGGACTGAACTGAAGAAGTTTCGTGGATGAGAAGCAGAATGTCCTCAAGGAAAAAAACAAGAAAGTCCAGTTGCCTCTTGAAAAAGCACCTTTGGGACAACCGAGACCTGGATGATGGAGAATCTCCATGGACGTTCTTCTGCTTTCTTAGAAATTCTGAGCACAAACTTGCCGATGCTTTTTCCACTGGGATCCCACAAACAGGACTTGGCACATCAACAGTCTTCAGCGGCGGAGCCTAGCTTGATCATCTCAGGAGAACATTTTGAAAGGGTGCTGCATGGAAACTTCCAGGAAAGAGCATTTTAGTCCATCTTGCTGCCAAAGCCTAGAAAGTGTGTTTTTGTTTAGACATTTCTGCTGAACGAGAAGCCACCAGAGGATGAAGGATTCTGTTGGAAGATCTCATAGATTTTTTGTAAACCTCTTTGCAGTGAATTATCTTCTGTCATACCTCATGACTAACCACATCGTTTGGCCGAGGGGAACACAACTCTCAATTTGTGTCATGTTTTGTTCACAGCAGGAAACGGGGCCAGCTCCACCCTCCAAGCGTTGGGTAATTAGTAAATTTAGAATGGCCTAAATTCTGTGCATCGGGACCCAATTCATCAGCTGCAAAAGCTGTTTTTCTCTATTGACCACTATTTTCCATATGGATGAAAAGAAAACAGGAAGAAATGGCTGCAGGACTCCCAGTTCAGCTCCAGCTTCTCCAGGAACCTGAGAAGGTCAGAGCTTCTTGAACCCCTGGAGAGCTACCATCATGTCCTACTAAGGTTGGTAGCTACGGCTACTACCAGATCCCCTCCTCATTTTAGGTTGTTTTGTAAAATAAAGAGGAGTAAGTGGAGAGCTGCAATCCTGAAGAGCAAAACGCCGGCCTCCTTGTCCCCTGTGCTGTTTCAAGAATGGCCTCCAGAAGAATTCTGAGAAAGTTGACTTATTCTCAGAACGTCAGTTGAGCTCATGAACTCCTCCCAAAAGTTTTCCCTCCCAACGTTGGCGATCAGAGAGCCCCAGAGTGGAAGAGGTGCTGTTATCTCAACAGGCCTAGCAGGTTGATCTAAACCAGCGTTTCTCAACCTTGGTGACTTTAAGACGTTGAGGACTTCAATTCTCAGAATAATTTCGGGAGTTGCAGTCCACACTTCTTGGAGTTACCAAGGTTGAGAAACCCTGGTTTAAAGAGCTGAGATGTTTTTTCCAGCTGCTATTTGTGGCTCCGGAGGCCAGTTTCTTTCCAGTGTTCCCCTCCTGGGGGGGAGGAGTAGGGTAAATTCCCTGCATTCCAGCAGAAAAGATGGACCCCAGCTGGGCTTTGGGATAATGCCAGTTCCACCTCCCTGCTGAGCGTCTTTAGAGAACGGGGCTTAGAGAGGCTGTCCCGGGGTCTCTGCTCTCCAAGTGAATCCAAGTGAATCCTTCCTCCCTAACACCAGCAAGTCTCCAGCCCCCACCCCCCATTCCCAGCCTGGCTCAGCTTGGCTGACTCTCCTCTCCTTCACCCCAACTTCAGGGCAGCAGCCAAACCAGGTGCCAGGCGAAAGGCGAACTCAGAGCTTTAAGGAGTGGAAATGAGGATGCAAAAGGGGTTAAGAAAAGTATCCCCACCCACCCAGCATGGAATGGGTGGCTAGAGTGCCCGCCCACTTCCAGTCCCCCTGACTCTCATTGGCTGCAGAGAGAGATAGGCAGAAGGTGTCAATTCCCTCCCCCAGAGCTGCAGGGAGACAGGGTGGGGGTTGGGGGTGCTAATTCCTTCCTTGGGATCAGGGGGCTGCGCTCACTTTCTGCTCTGCTCTGGGGAGAGCCAGGAAGAGGCCAGGCTGCCTCGCTGGACCCTGCAGTGGCCATCAGCGAGTGATCGCTCTTCAGATGCAGGAAAAGGAGGCAGCTGTGGACATCTGAGGATTTCCCCCCCCATGGGACCCCCCCCAAGACAGATTCTGCATATTCGGTTTCTCAGCTTGTAAGTGACAACTCTGCTCTTTTCAAGTTTTCTTTCATAGGTTTCCATCCTTTAAAGGACTGTACAGCTTTACGATGATGTGTACTCCTAAGGAAGCCACTGCTGAAATATCTGGATAGCATCCAGAGGCCAGTTTCTTTCCAGTGTTCCCCTCCTGGGGGGGGGGGAGTAGGGTAAATTCCCCGCATTCCAGCAGAACAGTTCTGCTGCCATCCAATTCCATTCTTAGACTATCTCTATCCTATCCTCGTTTCTGCTTTCCTTCTCCTACCTCCAGCAACTGACTCTAGTTTGCTAATGGGGAATATCTGTGCTGATTCAGGCGGGAGATCCATCCCTCTCAAGCCAGAGGGGCCGTCCTAAATGTCTTTTAAAAGGGCTAAAACTGGAACTTTCGAAACCTGGGACCTTGGGGAGAATGGAAGCTCTCCTGCCGAAGAGACAGCCTTCATGCTTCTGTTCTGTTGTCCTTCTTTCTTTAAGAGCCAGCCGCATCCAGCTCAGGTAGTGCAGAGCACAGGTTCCATGTCTCAGAGGGTCCTGCAGGCCGTCCCGTCTTGTCTGACCCCAAGATGCATTTCAGGAACTTCTCCATCACCCTCGCCACGGAACAGACTCCCCAGGAACCATCTCCCACCAACGTCTCCACCAGAGAGGCCTGCCTCATCCGCTTCTCCAGCCATCAGTTTGTGCTCATCCCTGTGGTCTACTGCGTCATCTTCATCCTTGGATTGGTGGGCAACAGCCTGGTCATCACGGCACTGTGTCGGCCGAGGAGCCCGAAGACGGTGGCCAATGTCTACATCTTCAACCTGGCGGTGGCCGACCTACTAGCCCTCACCACCCTCCCCTTCTGGGCCGCCAGCTACGCCAACGGATACAGCTGGGTCTTTGGTTCCGTGATGTGCAAGCTTTCCAGCTCCATCCTTTCCTTGGCCATGTTTGCAAGCATCTTCTTCATAACGTGCCTGAGTGTGAACCGTTACCAGGCCATTGTGCGCCCCTTCCAGTGCCAGCAAGGAACGCTGGAACGGGCCTTCATTGCCACATTCGTGGTTTGGGGACTGGCGACCTTGACCTCTCTGCCCACCTTCTGCTGGCGTGAAGTCAAATACATCGATGAGCTGGGCGTGAACGCTTGCATCATGGCCTATCCCTCTGAGAATTACGCCACCTGGTCAGCTGCAACAGCCTTAATGAAAAACCTCCTTGGCTTCTTGTTCCCCATGGCCATCATCCTTGGGTGTTACATCTGCATCAGGGTGCACCTGAAGAAGGACCCAGGGTTCGCAAAAAGCATGAGGGTCAGGGACCGGGTGTTGAAGCTGGTGGCTGCCGTGGTGGTGGCCTTCTTGATTTGCTGGCTCCCGTTCCACATCTTGACCTTCCTGGATGCCCTTTCCTGGATGGAGGTAATCAGCAGGTGCCACCTCACCTCCATGATTGATGCGGTGCTGCCCTTTGGGCTCTCCATGGGCTTTGCAAACAGCTGCATCAACCCTTTATTGTACTATTTTGTGGGCAGGCAGTTCCGGGATAAACTCCAGCATTTATTCAAGCTGAGCCTCTCCCAGTTCAACAGTGGCCGGGAAACCCTTTCCTCCAGCAAAACCAGCTCCCTCAAAACTGCTGGGTCCCTGAAAGAGACTGACCCAGGAGGAGACATGGGGAGGCCACTGACCCACCCACTGTGGGTTCCCTAACCACCATCTGGAAACACTTAAGCTGTGGTTACGTCTTCTCTGTGACTCATGGTTTTCCTCCTGTCTCTCCTTGCTCCTCTCCTAGGACAATCTGTCCACTGAAGACCATGTTTTCATTTGCTTTGAGAAAGGTTGTAGAGGGCAATTAATTGGCAATAAATATCTTAACACCCTTACTAACCCAGCCTATTTCTATGACTAAAGTTTGTTTTTTACATGGCCCTGAGAAAGAGGAGTTTGCAAAGAAACTTAACTTTCAACACTTATCTACTCTTAATACACTAAAAGTCTATTAGGGAGAGGAGAGAAACCAATTTCTTGGTAGTCTGCATTGCCCATGGTCTAATTTTTCTACAACAGTAGCTATTTGCATGTTTACATTTTGGTTTTTGTGTTTTAAATAGGATTTAGTCCTGACACATTTTTGTCATCTTTCTCAGTTTACCAATTCACCCCTTTGCAGAAAATTATTACTTTCTTCCTTGTGCCCAGCAACCTTCTACTTCCCAGTATCCTTCAGAGGTGCCTGGATTGGTACCAGCTGGAAGCTCTACATTCCCAACACACCTAGGCCTAGCCAGGTTGTGGGAGACCACAACAGTCACTGTATAGCACTCTCACATAGGCCATCATCCCCAAATGTGGTTGCCCTCGTGGATCAACAAGGGCCTTGGGTTTAACCTCTCCCACCTTCAAGGGGTCAATTGTCCCAGGTGAACTTTGCAGAAGGCAGAAAATGTGCAGCAGTTCTAAAGGGCTGGTAGGCCAAATCAAGCCTGCAAATAAGACCCCAGTCAAGAAACTGCCACAGAGCCATCAGTAAACAGCCCAACCAAAGAATCCTTAAGGCAGCCCCCACCGCCCACCCAGACAGGCAAGCCACCAGGATATAAACCGACAGCAAACAGCCCTCCTTCCTAGCACTGAGGATGCTACCTAGTTTGGGCAATGAAACGTCTGCAAGAAAACAAGCAAGCTCAGAGAGCACCAAGGATCCCTCGTGTCAACCCTGACTTACAGATATTCTCCTTTATTAGAAGTGCGTGTTTTTTAAAAAGCCAGTTGCATCAACGTAGGACAGCTTGGTTAATTGTGGATAATTAATACAATGAGGTCTGGCATGGAGAGGGAAATTAACTCTTTCTTCTTTAAAAAAAAACACACCTCTTTCATCCCCAAACTAGATGGTTATCCTTAGGATCCCTCCTAGCAGTTACCATGAAATGCAAACTTCCATGAAGTTTTTCGTGAGAAAATTTTCAGCGTAAAGAGAAGGAACCCTCTCTAGCCAGTCTGTATTTGCTTATGACATTTGATGTACTGGGCAAAGCTGCTTGTTTATCCCGTGAATGTGCCGCTCGGAACGATATGTTCCTTCCTACGGACACCCCTTCATTCCCCGCCCCCAGGACAGCAGCCACAGCCTACCTTGGCACGGCTTGGGCTGCCCATTCACTCTGATTTATGGCACCCAGCAGCACAGAGTCTTCCCAGACATCTGCAACCAGATGGGTGTCAGCAAGGCTTTCTGAACCCTCCCTCAAAGCATTGCCCAATCCGTGATGGCCTTGGGCCACGATCCAGTGTGGGCTGCCCTTGCTTATCCCAGCAGTGGGGGCTGAAGAATGAGGGAAGTCATTAGCGGCCTTCCTTTTAGCCAGAGGGACAAATAGCCCGAGGCCACAGAACACTGAGATGCTACAGAACCTGTTGCTATTTTTGTAGCAGACACCTGCACAGTTTTACCTGTGGAACACGAGGCTAACACGTCCCTCCACGTGTGTTGACCTCTGCTTATTTTACGTGACACCCATCGTTCTTCAATGAGATAATGGGACTTTGGGCTCCAAATTAAAAATAAAATGTCCAGGGTGGTCTCCAGATCCTAGAACTCTGCAAGCTGCCGCTCCCCTCAGTCTTGTCAATAACTGGGCTGAGAAGGGCCTCCCTCTGTTCCTCTGATGAGGAGAGGAAAAGCGATGAAGAAGGGGCTGTGGCCAGATGGGAAGGCCACCTCAACCTGCATCTCCTCCAGAACCAGAGGCTGCCCACCCACCCCCACCCGGGGAGGGGGGCTGAAACAGAGATAGTTGTATGAAGGTCACTTTTGTGACCAGCGCTGGCATCCCCAGCGCTTCATCTTATTGATTCTACAGCATAGAAAGGATCAAAATTTAATCTCTCTTGCTGATCAGAACAGTAAGTTCTCTAGAACAATGAAGTGGCCTTCTGACCTCCAAGGCTGGGAATCTTCCCAACTCAAACTGACACACCCAAGATCTTGGGCAGGGCGCCTCATGGCTTCAAGCTTTCCATAAGGACCTCAAGTCCCAGCGATTACTCTTTTTTAACCAAAAGAACGCAGGAGTGGCTCCACGTGTCAACATTCTCCACAATTCCACATTCTCAGTTGCTGCTGCTGTTTCTGTCTTTTCTTCAGTTCCGTACATTATGCAGACTTGCACAGAGGGTGCCTACCTGGGGCACCCTCTGTGCAAGTGCTTCAAACACTTGCTGGGCAGTTTGAAGAATGAGATAAGCCTCTTCAAACGGTCCCCATTCATCATCTGGGGCAACCAGATTATGTGAGGTTGGACTAGATGAACATTATGGAACGTTCAGAGCTTTATCTTTCTCATAGGCCAGACTTCTTGGCAGTTGCTCACCAGGCATTGCCTGGGCCCCTTCTGTGGCCACTAGGGAATTTTATAAATAGGTTGCTTTTGTAGTCTATGTTTTTAACCAGCACATCAGGTCCTTTGAGAACAGATAATAGCAAGGAAAGGGTTATTTCAGAGGATACAACTAGTTCCACCTTGAAGACATAGTTCCACCACTACGAGCTCCCTCTTTTCAAAATCTTTTATTTTCAGAAATTCAGTGCAGTCAAGTTTGAAGCTGGCCCTGCCTAATGCTTCTTCATAGAAGCCTGCCATAGAAAATCCTTCTACAAGCTATTTTTGGTCCTTGTGGAAGCTCTCCAAGGGGGATGGCATCTCCTGCTGTGCTTTTTCTGGCAAGTAAGAAGCCTTAGTTCAAGAATTTGACCCAATCAGCTGCCCAAATCAAGGTTAGTGGGACACGGGTTGAAGAGGCCTCCTTTTTCTTGACCAAAAATGCTTTGATGAATGACTTTGGAGTTTCTTCTCCAAATGTCTCTTGGGAAGCGGTGATCACTCATGGTGTGTCTCCTTGGCAGCTGCTTTGCCAGACACTTGGGGGAGGAGGATGCAGTACAAACCCCACATCCCAGGCTCTTCCAGGGAAGGCAAGGGTCATTGCAGAAAGGGGTTCACATGCAAGGCAACCAAGAGTCCCTTCGACGGTCCCAGGAGAGACGCCGCAGCTCCACCAAGTCTGCAGAACATGCCAGATTCTCAGTCCCTGGCATCTCCTGATTTCCAGTGGGCACACCAGCCCAAATGCCCCTGAAAACCAAAATACTTGCAATTCCCCTGACGTGCCAAAAGTCTCGATAGGAACTTTTAAGGGGCAGAAATAGAAATCCTTCATTAATTTGGGCTGAGGCCTGGAAAAGTCTGGCAGCTTGTTCAGGGATGAAAAGCTTGGCAGGGTCCCCCTCGTCAAAGGCCAAACATGACCTGCTGCTCAGAGTGTCCACAGGGTTGGGTCAAAAAGTCAAGATGGCGGCATGAAAAGGCCATGTCCAAGTGGATTCCAAGCTTGTGGGCTTTTTTCCTCTGCTCTATACTGACCAAACGGTCACCAGGGGCTTCAGCCATTTGAGGTCCAAGAGACAAGGAAGCCGAATTCTGCTCTGGCATCCTTGTGCCTTCTCCCCACACCCTTCCAGACCTCTTTGTCTCCTTGCTGGTCCAGCTTCTAGACAGGTAACAGCTTTACTGTCAATCTTTGCAAGGACAAGTCACGTTGTTGCAGCAAGAATTAGCCAGGATCCCAGCTGGGCTGCTACTTGGATAACAGCCCTCAGGTTCTGTTGGGTTTTGTCTGAGAGAAAATGGATCTTCAGGAAACACTCCGAAAAGCCCTGCAAGAAACACAGAATGTGTCCAGCTGCTGAAGTTCTGGCCCAGAAGAACCAAAGAAGCCTCTCAAGGAACCAAAGGGAGCACCCTGGAGACAGGAGGGGGAGGGGGCTCTTGGGGGCTATGCCTCTCCTACTCCTACCTGGAGGAGCACGATTAGCTCCAACGCGGAGAACGGCTGTGGTCAAGACAAACAAGGCATTTGGTTTTATTTGCTGCACACGCAGAATACCATCAGCCGTGGATGTGATAGTTCTTCTTTCTGCAAATAAGATCTCTGGGTGACACACCCAAAGCGTTCAGGAGCGCACCCAGCTGGGAGCTTCTGGTCTGCCCCCCCCTTTTATTGTTTTTATAACACAAGGCCCAAAGTTGTCTTTTTCCTGCCAAGCCAGATCCTTGGTGTCTATTTTTGCACTGCGTTACTTCATCCTCCTGAATGTGGCTTTTCAGGGTTTTGGATGCAACATGATTTTCCCAGCTCTGCTGGCCAAGACATTGCGCAATGTGGAGACCTCGTCCCGGGACCTTTGGGACACACAGGAGACTCTCTGGGGCTGAAATGTGCTGCCCCCAAATTCCCCCAGCTCCTCTTTTCGGGGTTTGCCTTCTGGTAGAGGCCTCTGAATGGTGCCAGAATTAGCAGTCTGCAGCAGAGGTGTTCGTCCCGTCTGCCTTTCCCTGCCTAGGCCACTGTTCCTCAACCTTGGAAACTTGAAGATGGATGGACTTCAACTCCCATAATTCCTCAGCCAGCATTCCTTCTTCTTCCTCCTCTACCAGCACCACATCCCATTTCCGCTCCAGAGGTTTTGCAATCTTTGGCCAAATCCCAAATCAAGCTCAGCTGGAGGATACGTCTCTTCCCCACGAGATGGCAGCACCCAATTAATCTTGAGGTTCTCCAAAAGCTACACAGGATTGTACCTACTAAACAGGGGACAGGAAGTCACCAGGAAATTGCAGGGCTTTTACTGTACGCTCACAATCCATCAGCCAATGAAGGGAGTCAAAAAGTCACCCAAAAGAAGGCAGTTGCAGACTATTGTGGTCCACTTGTTAAGAAATCCAGCTGAATGAATTCAAGGTTAGGTTAGGTTAGGTTAATTTAATTTGTATACCGCCCTTCTCCCGTAGGACTCAGGGCGGTTCACAGCATATTAAA